ATACAATATATATATATACACAAACACATATAAATTTAACACATAACAGATAATAAGTATAGTCAGCCATGACAGGTGCATTCTGTATTGAGGTATGTTGCCATAGATCTCCTAAAAGGAGTTAGATTGCTGTTTTACAAAAGCTGTTAAAGGATCACTATAGTGTCAGGAAAACAAACTCGTTTTCCTGACACTATATCATCCTTAGGTCCCCCCTACCCTCAGGGCCCCCCTCCCGCTGGGCTGAAGGGGTTAAAACCCCTTCAGCCACTTACCTTAATCCAGCGCCGGGCTCCCTTGACGCTGGTGACCTCTTCTCCCCCGCCGATGTGAGCTCCAGTGTGGAGCGGAATGCGCATTCAAACAGTCGGGACAGTGCCAAATCTGGTACCATTCGAGTCCCCGGGGTCTTCCTATGCAGTCAGGCTGGTTTTGCGGTGATACGGGTGAGTTGGCATGCAGAAAAGGGCTTAAGATGCCGGCTTTAGTCAGGAGCTTGCCCTGCATGCGTCTGCTCAGCCTGCCAGTCAGGCCCCGCCCCCAATCCAGGTGCTGTTTTATTCATTCAGGCGCTGTTTTATTTATTTAGCAACTGTTTTATGAATTCAGGCGTTGTTTAATTCATTCATGCACTGTTTTTTTTTGTTTTTTTGTTTATTTTTATTTTTTTGCAGTGCTTGTAATGAATACAAACTGGCTGGAGGTACCCCAAAGGCAATCCTCTAGCTGCTCATTATACATAACAAGTGGGGTATTCGCTATTCAATGCACAATTTTATGGTGTAGGCAGAAGAATGATAATAACATGCTGTGATACATTATTAAAGTATAGTGAAGGTACTAGAGTGCATATGCATACGAATGTAAAGGTTATGTTTAAAGCTGAAAGCGTGTGGTATAGCATGTGTGAGGTAAAACAAATCATTATATAGTTTAGCAGGCTGGAACTAGTGTTTGTGGAGTACACGAGAGAGTTGTCTGTGTGTGCCTTGTTGAGTGTACTCCTTGAGCTTTAGTACGAGAGATAGAAAATTGATACTGCAGATGGATAAACCAAATCCTACTAAACAAAGTAATGAAGTCCCCTGGGGTTCCCCAGGCATGAGTCCCACTGCACACAAGCCGGCAAAAAGAGAACTGTGTCCCTTAGAGTTCCTGCTATGGCTTCGGGTGCTGTCTGAGGTCTCCCAGCCAGGAAAGCCAGTGTCCCGTTACACCCTGGGTGGTTCACCCTATGCCTCGTTGGGGCTGTGGGAGTACGCTGCAGCTTGTCCCCGTCTGGCCTCCTGATGGGAACACTGTACTGATGGCTGAGGCGGCTCCTCAGACACTGAGGGTCTCATGCGGGCTTCCAGTTTTTCCCAGAAATCAGCGAAGATGCTGTTCAGCCGCATCTCCGTTTCCTGCCATGCGTTGGGTGGGTCAGCAGAGCGGTAGGTTCCCGCCATTTAAGCGCCCACAGGCACAGTTGGTTTTGGGCTCCGTGCAGCCGGTACAGGCCCGTTGCCTTGCCAGGGGGTCGGTTGGGGGTAGACCGGGATGACCCCCACCGGTTCAGAGGGGGGGGGAACGAGAGCCCACCGCCAGATATCCGGCGCGGTGTTGCAGCTGGGGAGCGGCCGTCTCCCCTGCGTATGCCATGCTTGTAGGCCCCACAGTGAGTTTTTCTCTGTTAGTCGCTTGAGAGTTGTCGTTCTCTTCACCTCGATGCCCACTCTCCTGTGGTGGCCTTTTAATCATGATTGTATGCCGTTGTGGCAGTGAGATTCGGATTTAGGTGCCAAATTCAGCAGG